TTTATCCTACTTCACCTTACCGAACAATTATTATTTCCAGAAATTTTTTCGATCTTAAGAATGATCAGATAGACAGAGTATCCCATTCATAAAATACTATTTATTGTATTGAAAACCTGTTTACAGGCCAGGGGGGGTTTGGGGTGCGGGCGGTCCGTGATAGGGATACGTCGTTCGATCTAAGTCCCGCCTCCCTGAGCACATGATTAAGCTAAGCACATCACTGACTGAACTACCAGAATTGGACCAGACCCAGAATTAAATAAATTACTCGGAGAAAGGATTTTTTTAAACTTTCATTACGAATGTACTTAATACAATGAGCGGTATAAATAGAATTGATTAGTGACATCCTCTCACTATTTATTGATTAATCAATTCACGCCGACTGTGTTCGGCTAACGTCGGATTGAGGGTCCACGGTGGGTGGATTGGTGGCTAACGGTTGGAACCGTACGTCGGGTGAATCGAGTTTGGGCTGATTACATAACTCTTCCCCCCTTAGAACGGAGCGTAGGGCAGCGACGGTTGGCTTTGGTCCTATGAACAAGCGGTGGATTCGCTTGCGTTTGATAACTACAAATAATAGTAAGGTTAAGACAGAAGACTGCAGACTGACTGCACGGTCCAGGAGACTACTTCGGGCAGAGTGATTCTTTGAACAGCCTCTAGATGAGTGCCTCCGGGTATGCGGATTTCCTCTAAGTGAATTTGGAATGACGGCGGTAGTTCTGGCAGGGCGACTTGCGGAAGCTGATACGGCAACGGGTCAACACTGCAGTTGCGGTTTACAATGTACATGGTACATTTCCATGATGTAGGACATCCATCTTGTAGTAGTCCATTGTATGAAGTAGTTTGACGTGCAGACAACTTTTTATTTGTTGATCGAAACTGAAATTGCTTGGTCTAGGATTACTGCAAATATATTTTGTTTCCTTGTGCAAGATGCACTTATCATACCAAACTTTATTAGAGTAAAATTCAGTAGGATTAAGTAGCATTGTATCATCCGCTCTTGGAAGTGGGAAGATCTGATTGAACTTGTGGCTTTAAGATTGGTATCTTTAATATAAGTCGAATGACCGAATTATGCATGTATGTAATTATGGTTGATTGTTCTAATAGCTCATAAGGATGGTTTATAGAGTATAGTAGTTGGTCCTCATGATAAGTTTCTAACAATTTAGTCTCTATAAGAGTGATTTCTTGTATCTCGAAAAATTCAATATTGACCAAATTTAGACGAGAAAGGCTAATTGTGAGAGTAATTTTTCGTAAGAACTCTGCTAACAAAGCTATGTGATCGATGTACAAGTTAGCAGAAATTAGATCATCAATCTTTTGGTTTATTTTATTTAGGGCTGACTTCGCAAGAATCAAGTCATTGTTTATTTGGGCGGTAAAAGATAAAATTCTGTCGTTTATGTTATTTGCGACATGAATGAATTTATTTTGTGTTGTTATTATGTTATTCTGATTCTCCTCAATGTTAGCAAAATGACATTTAATGATATCTAAATCATCATTATCTGGGTTACCGGTGATAAATTTGATGACTGAACCTAATCCGTTAATTAGTCCACGTTTACGTCGGGTTAGCATTGCATATTGATTTCTCACTTCTTTTAGATGTCGGTCCTACAAGGGCTGTAAAAGTGGGTTAATGTGTGTCTGATTTGGAATAGGGAGTTCGTGTATTATTTCTTGAAAGGGTTGCAGGTCAACTGCAATAAGAAATCTATGATGATGTGATATTTCTCTCTGAGTTCCAATCTGTTCGGAATAGTAGCCGTTATGGTCATCTGTTAAACATTGCACCCTTTGCGAATGGGTAGAAGGAGTTAGGGCATGCACTGCCAATCTGCAACAAGGGAATTATTTAGTTTTTCTTAAACGTTTAAGGGACTTAACATTTATTTTAAGAGGTTTTTGTCTTGAATCCTTAGCTTGAATGGTATTTCCGGTTTGTTGATTAACAATAATAGGTTTGTTTAGGGATAATTTGTTATATTTTGCTTTAAAGCTGGAATATTCCCGAGAATTTTTTTGTATGTCAGGAGTAGAGTCTTGTCTATTTTTATTTGTCTTGTCCAGATTACTGATCATTCTAGAAGATGTGTTTCTATGTACATGATCAAGAAAAGGTTGCATTTCCATTTTTCTTTGTTGAACGTAATAATCATATACAGGGAAATCCTGATCAAAAGCGGGTGTTGTAGCGTAAGGTCCATATAGTATATTGAAAGGGGTGTGACCAGTAGAAGCATGAATACTTTGATTGTATATTGTCACAGCGGTGATAACTAAATTGTCTACGGCTTCTTTTGGAGATATTTGTATAAGTATTTTTAACTTTTCTGTAAGTTTGGAATGAAACCGCTCTATAGGAGAGTTGGAGCTTGAGTTTCCTATAGCGATAGTGTGGTGTTCTATTCCATGTAATTTTAAGTATTCTCTGAACATAACGGATACGAAGGCCGGCTCATTGTCTGTAACTATCTTTTTCGGAAAGTTATGATGAGCAAAGAAGTGTCTCATTTTGTTTAGAATCGACGGTGTGGTTTTATCAGGGATATGGTATACTTGGGCATATTTACTAAAGGGATCTATCAGGGTTAAAAACATATTTCCTTTTACAAAATAAATATCAGCATGAATGTTCTCCAGAGGCTTTGTAGGAAGTATTGGCCCTTCAAAAGGGACCTTGTAGGGTCTTCTTTCGTACTTCGCTTGTTGACAAATATCACATTTATTTATAAAAATGGTGATTTTGTTTTTTAAGTTAGGGAAATAGACTATTGATTTTAAATGCGTGTATGTTTCCGAGATACCGTTGTGGTTTTTGTCATGATAGGATTTGATTGTACCCTGTTGTTCGTCTTCATCTATTATGTCAGCCAGTTTAATTTTTGTCAAACGTATATCAAATTGAGTGAAATTTTTACTCAGTACCCCCTCCACCAGCGGTCTAAGTTCGGGATGGTACAGATAAAGCCCATAGGTTGTAGCGGGACTTATAAAAGCTAGAATATGAGCAAGAATGTCCTCGTTAGGAGTCTCGCGAGTTACACCAAGAACATGAATATGTTTGTCAAATCTTTTGACTAAGGAGTACTTGTTTTTGCGGTATATGTAATTAAAATTTGATGTTTGAAAATATTACCTGGTTTTTCTGAAATGGTTAATCCACAGGAGATGTTTTCGTCTTGTGAATGCACTGTATTGTCGTCCGTAGGGCATTGTTCGGGAAGAGTGTTGTCAATTGCCATAGGGGCCAAAGAATCGGTTTCGTCCTTGTTGTGTATGTTTATTTCTACACGGGAAAGGGCATCTGCGACTTTATTAGCAGCTCCTTTAAGATGCTCAATATCGTACTCGTATTCGTCTAATTTAATTTTCCATCTGATCAATCGCGAATTAAGCGTTTTTAATTTACTTAACCATCCTAACGGATTATGGTCTGTTTGTATTAAAAAACGTCTGCCATACAGGTAGGGTCTAAAATGCTTTGTGGCTTCGACTATAGAAAGAAGTTCTCGTTCTATAGTTGAATATTTTTTTTCGGCAGAGTTTAAAGTTCTGGAGTAAAAAGCAATAGCGTGTCCGTCCTGTGATAAAACAGAGCCAAGGGCTAAATCGGAAGCGTCTGTAGTGGCAGTAAATTTTTTTTCGAAATCGGGATAAGCCAAAATTGGTGATGAAGCAATCAATGTTTTGCATTGTTGAAATGCTTTAACATAAAATGGATCATTTGGGTCTATTTTTTCACCTTTTCGAGTACATTTGTTTATAGGATAAACTATTTGAGCGAAGTTTGGGATAAATCGTCTGTAGTACCCTATTAGACCTAGAAAAGATTTTATTTCTTTAACGTTAGTGGGTATAGGATATTTTTGAATTGCGTCTATTTTTATTGGATTCGGGGAAACTCCCTGAGGAGTGACTATATGACCCAAAAATTCAACTTTTTTTGTAAGAAATTCACTTTTAAAAGGCTGAATTTTCAGATTGGCTTTTGTAAGATCGTCAAAAATTAGTTTTATGTCGTTTATATGTTGTTGTAAACTTTTAGAAAAAATAATAATGTCGTCGAGATAAACAAAACAACGTTTATGAATATGCTTGCTCAATACTTCATTGATGACTCTTTGGAAGCTGCTGGGGGCGTTTTTAAGACCAAAGGGCAGTCTTGTGTACTCAAAATGTCCCTGCGGCGTCGTTTTTTCAATGGATCGTTCATCCATTAAAATTTGATGATATCCCTGAGATTAATCAAGACACGAGAAATATTGCGATTTACCTAAATTATCTAAGATTTCGTCTATACGTGGTAAAGGGAATTTGTCTTCTATAGTTTGTTCGTTTAACTTGGAATAATTTATTACCATTCTAACTTTCTTTTTACCTGAGGCATCAGGTTTTTTGTCTACTATCCAAGCGGGACTGGAATAGGGAGAAATAGAAGGGCGTATTATTTTTGCGTCTAATAAGTCATTTACTTGTTTTGCGATACCTTCTTGAATACTTTGAGGGTAACGTCTTAACTTGGTATACAACGGTGTTTCCGTAGTGGTACGTATAAAATGTTTTGTATGTGTAGTAGCAGACAAGGGCGTATCAGGAGTATGAAACAATTGGGAGTATTTTTGACATAATGCTAGGATTTCTTTCTTCTCTTCATTATTCAAATGTTCGAGACGTAGTAGGGAAGTATCCAATGGAACTTTAGGTAAAGAGGGTGAATCAATTATTCCATAATCGTTCAAATTGTGGACCTCTATAGGATGGTCAAATGTAACATTTTCTGGCAAATCAGGCCAATAAATATGTCCATTTTGTACTTTATGTATTGATAGGGGGATATTGAAGTCGGCTGATGTAGGCACTACAGCATATCCGGATATTTGTGTGACAGGTATTAAATTATTTTTTGTATTTTGAATACTAAAGGGCAAGGTTTTATTGAAAAGGGTAATTATTTGCTGTTCATAATTTAGAGTTGCACCAAAATGTTTTAGATCACGGGACCCTAAAAGAACATCATATTTGTCGTGCCATTTTAGTATGCGAAAATTTATAGAGGTTCGAATTCCTATTTCGGAAAAAATGGGAAAACTAATGTTTTCATGATTTGTATAGGTTGCAAATATAGTTTTCACGGTAAAAGTATCATGAAATTTACAAGCGTCAGGAAAGCGGTACGATATTTCGGGGTTCATTATGGAATCTGAAGCGCCTGTATCCACTAAAATTTTTAAATTTAATTTAGGTAAGAATATATGTGGAAGAGAAATATGCTGAATGTTATTCAATTCAACTATGGGGCACTGTTGTTGGAAGCCAGTATCTGAAAATTTTCGGTTTCAGTTTGTCAGTGTTATTCATAATATTTTCGGAGTCATGATTGTAAACATTGTTATCGAAAACATGGGTTACTTTTTCATCAACAAATTCATGTTGTTGATATCCAATTGCTGACACAAAGTTATTGTCGACCTCGCTACTTGAATTTGCGTCCTTGAAATCTGGGTCAGTAGAATAATAACTAGAGTAATTATGTGGATCAAGTTCGACGTTATACAAATTTTGTCGATTCGACGAAGTTCTGGCCGACATTGGTTCCCAAATTTGATTATTTTTTATTTGTTGATTAATTGGAGGGTTATATTTAGTAGAAATATTTTGGTTACTTTGATTTGGAAAATTGCGATAGTTAGGATTAAAAAATCTAGGTTGAGGATTCATTTGATTCCTAAAATTAGATGGTCCTGCTTGGGTTAGATTTTGCCTTTGGAAGGATTTAATATTATTATTATTGGCTGAAGGTTTAACTATCGTATTTGATCTACTTTGAAGGGCACGATGTCTCATGAGAATATTGTTATATTTTTCGCAGTGATCTATGCACGCGCGTAATGTGGAAATTTCTATATTGCTTAGGGCTTCACGGAAGGGTGAATTCAAGCCTGCAACAAATGTCTGCAGAGCTTCTTCACGGTACATGTCATTGTATGCTTCTGCTTTAGCAGGATCTTGTATATGAAGATGAGTTTGTTGCATTAGTTCGTTGAGTTTTGTGTTAACACGTAAATAGAAGTCCCTGTATGTCTCTGTCGGTTTTTGTTTGTATTCGGTCATTTCGCGCAAAAGGCAATTTCTAGTTTTCAAGTGTCCAAATTGATCTAATAGAGCAGCTCTAATGGCATACCATGTACCAAAACCATTTGGGATGAACGTATGTAATTTGTTATTTCTTATGTAAGTGTGAGCACTACCTGTGATACGTTTTAATATGTGCAAATTCAGCAAATATAATTGTGTATTAGAACACATAGCAAAAGTTTGATTTAAAAATAACTGAATTACTTCATCAACCCCTAATATAAATGTTGTAAGAGTGTCAGGTTGTTGGGGGTCGAAGGATGGAATAGTTTGAACAAATGAGTCCAATTCTTTGTTGGTAATGGTAGGTGTGGTTGGGGGGGACATGTCTATCGAGTGTGAGGAATCAATAGGCTGTAACAAATTAGTGTTACTTGAACTAGCTGGTAATTGAGATATTACCTGAGTAGATTCAATCCTTTCAGATGTAGTAATTGAAGGGCGAATTCTATTTCCGCTATCGTTGAGAGGAATCAGAAGAGATGGATTGATGTCAATGAGTGATATGGCGTTAATTAAGTCGTCTACAGGGTCTGACATAAAACTAATTTAAGAATGAAATTTGATAAAATTCGGGGAATACACGAAAATAAGTCAAATAATCACAATCAGATTTCACAGTTCCAGAAAGCAGATATACTTACACCATCAGGATAAAACACATTGCACAATCACTATTTTTCTCAGCAGTACAGATTCGTGTCGATAGTTAGTTAATTATTTAAAAATAAAAGTTACTGATTGATACAGAACTCTAACTATCCTGTTCGCAGCGCCAATTAAATAAATTACTCGGAGAAAGGAATTTTTTAAACTTTTATTACGAATGTACTTAATACAATGAGCGGTATGAAGAGAATTGATTTTTAGTGACATCCTCTCACTATTTATTGATTAATCAATTCACGCCGACTGTGTTCGGCTAACGTCGGATTGAGGGTCCACGGTGGGTGGATTGGTGGCTAACGGTTGGAACCGTACGTCGGGTGAATCGAGTTTGGGCTGATTACATAACTCCAGTCCAAAACCAAAACGATGATATTCGAAATGTATCCCAGACTAACACGAACGTATCTTATGTTTTGGTCTTTTTTTAACATATACTAATCATCATCGCATAAGATAAAAACAACAACATACTCTGAGCAAGATCGGAACGTATTACTCTATGACAAGCAGGAGGCCGAGTTGAGCGTAGTTTAGTCTAGTGATGGGTTGCTAAGTGTTATTAAAATGCAGGACTCGCAGGACTTCATACCCGCGTTAGAAAAAGAAAATTAATATTCCTACAAATAAATATGGCATTTTAGTAGTAGGGGAGTTTAGTCAGGATAGAAAGAATCAGATATGTTGTCAACATATTTTTGTTTATAAATCCGTCTATCTGTGGTTGTAGGTCATTGAGAATGATATTCTTCAGTGAGAAAATTATTCCGGTTAACTAGTGGTATTATAAGTAAACCAGTTTTTGCTTTTATTACTCAAATACTTTTCAAAAAAGTTTCTAATACTCCCCCCGAAGCCACATTGACAAAGTTTTCCATAGTCTGTTTCTATCAATTGCTCTAAAAGCTTTTCGGAAATAACAGCAATTATAATTCCATTTTGTTCAAAATTTCTACTCCAATCTTTTGTTACATACTGTCATATACTATTGAAATTTCTTAGTATTTATGAGTGAATATTTATGATGGCGGTTACTATATTTAGGTAAACCAACAACGAACAGATTTTTATGGATTATGAAAACTTTTATATCAATAAATTGAGATGTGTATTAGGCAAACGCATCGCATAGGAAATTACACTGCTTGAGCCGTCCAGCCGCAATACTGATAAACTATTTTTATTTAGAATAAACAATTAAACCTGCAGCAATAATAAGAGAAGGCGTTACGTCATCAGCGTATAAGTATGTGAATATTTTCATCATTGCAGTACCAGTTAAATAAAAATGTGAGATCTATTGCGTCCACGTTTACTGGCATCGAACGTGTACATGGAGCCAATCAGATAATATACTCATCCATCCTCACTTGTCTGACTTCCAATGGGTGCGAGGAGAAATCAGTATAAATTTCGCTATATTTTTCAATATGTGATGCAGTATATTGACCATACCACTATTTTAGGCTTGGTCCAAGTAACTTCGTATAGAATTTACCTGTCTTTCTTTTTGTCTGGACCTGTCAAATCTAAGTTTCTCTTGTCGAAACCAAAGACCCAGCTCTGACTGAAATTCAGAGTCTGTGAAGGCACCAAATTTTCTGCGTACTGCCACCTTCAGGATGTGCAGAATTTTGAGCTGGCTTAAGACAAAATTGTTTTTCCTTCCAGTCCAGCCACACTTCATAGGTAATTTATCAGTTAAGATATTTTTTAAGCCCCTTCTTATTATTTCCTTTGGGTTGGCACCTCAAAGTAAAAACAAAGAAGCTTCCTAAAAGAATAAACAAAGAAGGTCATATAAATTCGGTATGATAAAAAAAAATCATCTGCATTAAAATTGTTAAGAAATTACAAAAAACAATGATATGTTTTTCAAAAACCATAAATTAATTATACAGGGTGTCCACTCAGTCGCGATATCGGACGATATCTTCTTACAGGGTGATGCAACAAAAAAAATTAAATTACAAAGTTGTTTGATGCTCTAATATGCATCAGTTAAAAATATTTTCAAATATGTGCTCCGTTTATGGGGTATGCGACAAAACTTTGTTTCTTTTAATGGAACACACTGTAGCTGATTGCATATTTGGATTCTACTTAAAATTCTGAGCAGATATCATGTGATATACCCCATACATAAGTTCAACTGTTTGGATATATTGACAGTTGAAAATTGACCTTTTGCAACTTTGACAGGCTGTGAAACCTAAACGGTTAATTTTAGAGGAAAACCGATTTTACATGCCTATCTTATAGACCGTGAGATAGGGCCTGTTTAGTGGAGTCATTTTTTTTTGTCTGGCATTTTGAGGGATGAATGTGGCTAGTTAGCTGATGAGAATATAGGTGGTTTTAGTGCCTGCGACCTGTTCGAAATGTCAACAGAATATTTCGCCGGAAAACTCGACTTCGAATTGGGATTACCGTCTGGCGATTTTTCAGCGATATTTTCACAACAAAACCTTCCATTATCTCGATTACCAGATAAAAAGTAAACGCGAAAGGTTCTTTTTTTTTCTCTCGGAAGTTAACACTCATCCCCACTTTTTCAGCTATTGAAAAGCATCTGGTATTTTTTATGGGTGAATTATTTATCATAATCAATCTTTTATTTAGAAGCCAAAAAATTTGAGATCATTAAAAAAAAAATCCTCATGTAAATCAATTTTTTTCTTCTGCAAATTTTCGAACGGGAGGCCGGCATTAAAATCACCCATATTCTCATCAGCTTAGTAGCCAAATTCAGCCCTCAAAATGCCAGACAAAAAAAAATGACTCCACTAAACAGCCCCTATCTCACAGTCTATTAGATTTTCATAAACTATCATTTGATAACAACTTTGAATTTAACCGGAGATTAAATTTAACTGGAATTTTTAATCATGGATTAAATTCAAAGTTGGTGTCAAATGATAGTTTATATGTACAGTGATCGCCAAAAAGTTTGCAACAAATGGGAAAATATTTTATTATTAAGATATCAAAAAAAAATGTTACGTGGGATCAACTCAGCATACCCATCAACAAAAAAAATAATTATGACAGATGTCATGTGACCACAGTCATGACGACAAATTTAAAAAATTCGCCTTAAATATGTGAAAAGTGGGGTTAAATGACCAGAAATCGAAAAATTGTAGAGAGAAAAGTGGTTCAGGATCCGATTTTACGTGCATGTGTCAATTTTTAAGAAGGTACAAGGATTTTTAATAAATATCAATTTTTTGGCCTGTTTTCTGGTAATAT